AGGAAAGAAAAAAAAACCGTTTGGTTTACCATGCTACTATGTAATCCTAACATAACAAAACAATTAAACTAATTACAGGCTAACAAGTAGCAAAGTATAAAGTTTTTGTATAAATGCTTAACTTAAAGCTTATTCCCATCTTATTTATTACAAAAATACATTTGGCTTGTAACCTGTCTTTGATCGACTTATCAAACTTTTACGTTTTTCGAATTTTCCATAACCACATCAAAATTCAAATACAGACGGCCGTGTTGGTTTTTCTTTTAAGTTTTCACAGAATGTTTCTGCTAAATTAGAAATATACTCACACCCATAGGTCATATAAAGAATTTGAGTAATAAAATATGCAAATAAAACAAATTGAGACTATGAGAGTGAGACAGTGAGAAGGCGAACAGAATATTTCAAATATGACGTCAAAACAGTACGCCACACCAAATGAAATAGTTAGGGATGTGCAATTTGTAATTTATAATATAATCTTTTTATTCACCCAGGTGGAAGTTATATCCAGGCGCTTCTTTGAATGTAGTAACTCTCGGCGGTTTCACTCTGTTAATCAACTTAATCACTGGTACTGTGGTAGTGGTACGGAGACATGAGTGAAGTTAAATAATATCACAGTACGTTCTTGTACCTACGTTCTTGTTTTGATATATAATATACTACTCTTACGCTAAATTGAAGTGTCACAAGTTGTTGTAGTTAGTAGTAACACAATTCAACTTGTATAATTAAATACAACTAGTACTAGTAGCATAGGACTAAACTCTACAGACTACAGTTACTGAGTCAGTGTTATGTGACAGCTTCCTAATAGTAATACTTATAATAATGATATTATTATTATGAAACATGTAAAGAACAATATCATTTTAGTGCAAATTGTCCTCACTCTCTATTTGAGTTGTTCTTAAATAAGCCTGCGGAGAGTAAATCAAATACCTTTCCAAAATATGCTGCCCAATGACTTGGCGTCCACCCATAGAAAGTATCCTCCTCAAGGAGTGAATGGCTCCCGGATTTCAACAGGAAGGAAAGCGCTTGAACGTCACCGTCCCTACATGCTCGATGTAAAGGGAACTTACTATGAAAAATGAACTCATTGTTTTCACACCATACCTCTTCAAGTTGATTTTCTTCGACATGCGTCATACCTATTATGAAACGAAAGTCGTTTTTATATAACCAGACTTTAACTTAACAACAAATCAATAACATAGAGAACCTATGTGGTTTCATTCTTACGTAGCGTAGCCTCGACAACCTCGATTTGTTTAGACATCCGGGTAAGTCGGTAAGGTAAAAATGCCGGTTACTTAACGGAAAGATGCCTAGCTTGAAAAATTTAGCGTCCTCTATTGCTCGAGAGATGCATCGATCGGAGATAGGTGGAATATATGGACTGGATTATTTGGGTTACAAAATGCCATAAAATAGTAATATGCAGAGAATAATAAAAGGGAAGGGGCTAATTGATAAAAAGGGTACATTTCAAGCAACGTAAGACAAGAGTGTTTTTTTTTTTTTTGTACACACAGGGTAAAAAATAGATAAGAAGGAGATGTCTTCTTCAAATCATATTCAGTTTGTCTTATAACCACTTTTTTGATCTAACACTAAGCAGCTAATTCTCGCGTATTAAAACTGAACAGCGTATCACAAGTATTATTTTTTTACTGTAAAATACTACAAGTCCCTGTGTTTTGTTCATTTTAAAGTTAATTTTCTCCCATGAATAACTCGCAGCAAGCAAGGTTGGAATCAGGTGTATAGCTCTTTAGGTAGTTATTGACAATTTTTATGACAGAGAAAAGGGACACTTTTAGCGATTAAAGGCAGGGGCCTAAGCCTAGCCCCTCTCTCCGCAAGTCACTGCATAAATGAACCAGTTCTTAATTGATTAACTATGATATCACGAGTAATTTCTATTGGCTTCATATGATGGTTCCATAGTACTATATCAGTTTTCTAAAGTTTTCAGCAAAGTTGATATGATATTTAAATCAGAATGTAAAAAAAAAAGTTTGAGATCACAAATAAAAATCAGATTCTAAATAAGCTATTACAATCTCAAATAATAATCGAACTCATAATGGGAGAGTGGCTTCATGAAGTGGCGCGATCAGTTGAAATTCAATGCAATATCACGCTAAGCTCAAGTTGTGTAAACCTATGGGCCTGTTGGTTTCTCATGCTTTTTCAACTTTCGGCGTTCAAACGGTAACTTATATGTTTTAGAATTTAAGGACATTTTACCCATTTTAGTTAACATTAGTCTATATTGTTGTAACCATTGTTGGGTGTTTTTTTGTGGCCCATTCGGTAAAAAAATAATGCAAAGTACAGTCTACTTAATGATAAAAGTTTTATTTCTTCGACTTCAAGTTGGCTATATCTAAGTTCACAATAAACACTAATACAATTTCACTTACTTGTTAACTTTATTTTATGTAAGGTACTTTCTCGAACCTTTAATACTTTGGCCCAACCGCAACTCAAAGTTTACAAAACTGTAATAACTGATTCACCTAACAAACCAAACTGACATACTCAATAATCAGTTATCAACTGTAACACTCACAAACCAATTGTGTGGTGTGTGTGTGTGTGTGTGTTTGAAATTAAGCACAAAGCTACACAATGGGCTAATATGTGCTCTTTTCATCACATGTATTGAGATCCGGTTTTAGGCGTTCTAAGTCCGCAGACATACCGCTGTGCCACTGGTGGGCACAAATCAACTGTCAACATATTCAAGAGTAACTCGCGTTTTTATATTGCTATTGTTAAAATTGTTTCTTTAGCTTTCAAGAAAATTCCAGACAATGAGCCATGAACTCATCAGGTGACATAAAACGTCCTCTAGCCAACATTAATAAAAACGTGTAAATTAGAAAGAGAACATAGCTACAACACTGATCCTTTCCTAGACTGCGAAGTCCTTTGAACAGTCCTATTACACAAAGCTGGTACCTTAAACTTTAACTTTCATAGTCAATAATAAAGTAACTCTTGGCAATTAACAATATAAATATTCACGCATAAGAACTCGATAATTATTAGATCATTAATTAATTCTGTGAAACAATGTACAATCACACGTTTAACTAATTTATGGTTTATGGTATTAAATTGGTTTGACCTCTTACCCGTTACCATTATCTACTGTCTTGTGACTGGGGTAGATAGTCAAAGTGGCTCTATCCCTGTTGATACTCTGGGAGTGATCTTGACATGTACCTCGGAATCCCCAGCAGGTTGACTTGCCCATGACAAAATCTTCTTTGAAGTTAACCAGTTGGCTGTTCTTCGACTACCTTACTCCCAAAAATTATCAAAGTAAATTACCTTTGGTATGAACTTCTAGTCCTCTAGAAGTTCTAGATTCTATAAACCACATTATTGTCATTTTCTTAATTTTGGAGATAGTTCTCTCTTTCAATGTGTAATGTACAGCCATATTATTTTACCATAATGAAATACATTCTTATCAGTATTTAGATCATAATGAATTCTCATCTTATCACTAATGATTTAAGTATTCTTCGATAAAGCCATACTTAATGATGCTCCTTAATCTCACAACATAATCTGTGTGAAATTGTTGAGTGTTGATTGTCAAAATGTGAATATAGAAAGTCCAATTGCACTTTCAGTTATCTTCCAAACATCAATGATGGTGGCTTGTTTCCTGTAACTTCAAGTGTCACTGTTCAATAACTCATGTGTACGAATGGAAGATCTTGGTCCCACATTTTCTAATGATCATCTATATATATGGTTAATTGATCTAAAAATATATGGTTGTGTGTCTTTACGGTTCCACCAGAATAGGTATGAAGGGCTGTTGTCCCAGTCTTTCTATTTTCAAGGGTTTGACACATATATATTTATATATCTAGAAACAAAGCTGGTTGATAGATCTGTCCCAGATCTGAGTGAAGTTCAATAAGCACCACCCCAAATCTTGAAATAAATTCTTTCTTGCTACACTTTTTACTTCTGATTAGGATCAGCATATATTTTTGCTTATTTGGGAAATAGTTTGTTATCACCACCAAGATGTATTTGCTCTAATTGCTGTTCTGTGATAGAAGGCTAAGCATTTTGACAGCAACTCTATCAAGTGATTCTCCAACAAAATATGGTTGTAGTTGTCAATGTTGTTTCCTTCATAGACATTTTTACTCACATCACAGCTCATAAGATTTTTACCAATCCTCTATACATTTCCACTATGCAACCTAAACAGAAACATTTGTATACCCTCTGCAGTTTTTCTTAACGCTTAAATAACCAGCTACTGGATGGTTCCAAAGGCAGCCGAGTGCTTCTGACTATAGTGACTGTGAAAGTACCAAATGAAGTCGTAACTTATGCGCACTGATATCTTCCTATTTTGACATAACAAGCCTTTTCATAGACATAATTAATCCAACTTTACCCAGGACATTTTTGTTTTCGGACTGTATTGAGTCAGTGTTTGCCAAGATAAGGTGGATCGTTTTGCATCATTCCTGATCCACTGAAAATTGGCTAAATACTTATATATTTTTTTCTGAGAATCTTTTAGTTGAGTGTTGGACCATATTAGTTCATCATCTGTGGATATTTCATTTTGGATTCTGCTTTTTGCAATTAAGGATATCCATCATTTTGTACTTTCCTTTTTTACAATGCTTACATTATTCAATACTGTAAGGTCTTCAAGATAACGCATAAACATTTTATTTGTCCAGCCTACGTCGCGAGATTTGCTGAAGAAATTATCTTGGTATTCTATCAGTAAGTTATGTAATCTGATTCATGGATCAGTTGTAAGTCTTTCACAGCTCTGGTCACACAGTTTCTGTAAATTAGGTAGTAAGGATATATCTTATATGTAGATTTAACACCAGACTTCCTACATATTGTTTTCAAGGTGGCTGCTTCTGGTGTTCTGTAGTGTGGAAATACTACTTGTATGACTTTATACCTTGAACTGTTCCATCCAGTATTTGCTCAGATTTAATGATTTATTGTTTTCATTGCTCTAATGATGGCACCTGTAGTACAGGGATGTACTATATGTTTTCCACCCCTTTAACTAAGAAAGTAAAATATTTATATGCATGTCCTTTTTCATGGTTTCCCAGATGGAACACTGTAATGTTCAAGTGCATTTCTAGCTTTTACTTTCCTTAAGGGGTGAACTATTTTAAGTGAAGATTAATTAGCCTATTTACCTGATTTTTTTTTTTTTTACCAGAATAAAGAATTATTTTTAATTAACTAGCTGAGTTATTCTTGTTGGTGAGTCAAATAATAATTGTGAGTGGACTCGTCCTTGATCTCCACTGTTTCTTGGCCAGCTGATTTAATAGGCATCAGGAATCATGAACTTGAAAGTTTACTAACTATTTAAAACAGTGTTAGAGATTGGGAGAACGGAGATTTTACAATGAAATTAAAGAGAGTTGATACAGATCTAAGAAATATTTTAAATTTATGGATATTTTCGTGTATGTTTTTATTGTTAACTTGTTCAGCAGAAGCCAATATTTTCCTTTTGTTAAGATAGTGAGAAATCATAAAATTCTCACATTAGAACCGTGTGTTTCTGTGGGTTTGTAGCTTTTCTTTCATTTTATTTCAGGAGAACTCCCAAAGTTCTCATGCTGTGTTAGGCGTTCACTTCCATAAATGAAGTTTATCTTCGTTGTTTACTTTCACTTTGTCTAGGGTAAGAACCATAAGATTCTTGCCAGTGATTCAAAATTGTTTGTACTCGTCGTATGCAACCGAGTTTTAGAGTTGGCATCACCTTAAGTTGGAAGCATAGTTATTGGAGCACTGGGTCTGCCATTGTTAGAATCGTTTTTAAGTGAAGTTGTCTTGTTGGATAAATCCTAGGAAGGAGTTGTATATCACGATTCTAGTGTATTAACATACATTAAAGTGAGAGTATCATAATCTAACTTGGGGTTATTTTTATCTAATAGTTTTATTTCACTCATTCCAACTTACAAAAGGGGATCACATAAAATAACATAAATATTTTCACATAAAAGTTTTCATTAGCTCTTGCTGGTTCCACACTTTCTATTGTGTTAGTGGAGTATTACTTATTTGTGTTGTTAACTGTGAATCATTAAATATTTGTTTTTTTTTTGTATAAACCTAGTCTGGTCTCCTTCTTTGTAACTTAGGTGTCGCAACTCGTAGGGAGATATACTTCAATATCTGATATCCCAGAACCTTCAGCTATTAGCACACCTAACCTTTCTACT